GGCAGGAAAACCCTTAGCCTAGCTCTGCATAAAGGCTCACCAGGCCAAAAATGGGAAGAATATATATACATTATATAATTGGATAGCATTCTGCCAGCCTTTCTGCTTTTTTTTATCTCCTAGGCTTTTACAAAAGATCAAGTACTGAAACTACTTTAACTGCAACACATTATATCTTCATGCCTGTAGGAGAATCCTCTGTTGCACTATAGAAAAGGCTGTAATAAAATCCTTGTTCCAGGGGGAATGCCCTGTGAACAGACCACCTTTCAGTGTCAGGAACAAAAAGCTTTCTCTCCTCTTTCATAGCTGTGATTTGCTTTTATATAAAATGAAAACACTCTTCTCACATGCAACAGGTGATAATGCCTTTTAAATCAGAACAGAAGATATTGAAGAGACAAAGTAGCTTAGGAACTGCTTGACATAAAGGCCTACCAATGACATAAAGGGCTAATGCTCATCTGGGAAAGGGAATTGGTACTACCTTTCTATATCTCAAAGAAATCACAATCCCAACGCCTCAGACAACTAGGTCATATAACACTACAATTTCCACTTTTCCCTGCTAGCATGCGATGCGGTGTGCATTTATGCTGGGCAGGCTCAGACATACCCAATTGAAAGGCCATGGGAGGCAATCTGGGATCCTTCAGATATTGCCGGAGTGTAATTCCTGACATTCATATCACTTGCTATGCTAGGAGTCAATAGAACAGTTATAGGGTTGTGGTGATTGAAATTTGAAAGAGCCTTGACCTTTTGGATCAAAAAGAAACAAGCTATGGCAGTGTTTCTCAGATTTCTTGAAGTGGGAGACTGGCAATTTTTATTTCCCAATTTACCATATTTGTGCCCGTTAACAACAATAGTTTCTCTCAAGGAAGCTCTCCATAGAGTGGTATCTGATGGTTTGAGAGTAGGCACCAGTCCAGTGTCCATTATTATGAGTAGCACTGACCTAAGGGATGCATAAGCAAAAAATGCCCCAGCAAGTGAACATCCTTTAAGATGCCACAGAATTTGTTTAGAGTAAAGGGGCAAAAAAGAAATTAATGAGATAAAATCTACCTGCTCATGTTTTTATCCCTTTGATATCTATGTAATTGTTTTCATTTTATGTGCAGCACTTTGGAGTGTTTTGTTAGCCGCCCCGAGTACCTTCGAGGAGATGGTGGCAAGGTGTAAATAATAATAATAATAATAATAATAATAATAATAATAATAAGCACCAAACAGTCCTAGATGCTTGGGAAGTGTTCGACTTGTGATTTTGTGATACGAAATCCAGCATATATATCTCATTTGCTGTGACATACTGTGTTTTTGTGACAGGATGATGATGATCATCATCATCATGCTCAATGGTGGTTTTATAACATGACCTCCAGAAGCACTCCAAGTAGCCAGCTACTGGTCAAAGGACATTTAATATAATGCCAAGTTTTTAAACTTTGTGTTTTTTTAAATACATTACAACAATACCCTTGGTTTGCTCATGATATGATAAATAAATAAATAACAGGGGAAAGCTCATCAGAACTTTCAATGGCATAATTTCATTTTGGATGACATCCAATAAAAATAGTAATGATAAAATATCAACTGAAGAAAACTCTCAGTCTGAAGCTTTTCCATGGCATGCAGAAAGAGTTTTACAAATTTTCATCAGCTTTAGTAATTTGTTAGCTATAACATCTGCTTCTCTCTACAGGGTTTTCAGCAGGTACCTGAAGATAAAGCATAATCTCTGACTTTTCTGCTTCTGTATCTTTTACAACAACCATAGGGTCTCTGAACAATGTGCTGTGAAAGCCTTAAAGATGAATGTATATCCCAAGTAGTACAAACGCGATTAGTATTTTAACACCTTAAAACCTCAGAACTAACAATGGGATAAATGTCCCTGAGCAAGTGCAATCAAGTATCACAAAATCCAACAGAAGAATCTCCACACTTAATACAAGAAATATTTTTGCATGGTTCTGAGAAGTGAGAGAATCCCAAAATTAAGATCCTGCGCTTATTCACAAAGGCATAGTTTTTATGATATTGAACCATAAAAAAATGCAGAGGATGAACTGCTCCATTCAACTATATCTTGCACCAGAGCCATTTGATTCCCCAGCATCACATTTTGTCACGGAATCCACACAGAACTGAGATGTATGATATAAGCAGGCATTCTATGGCATGGCATTTGAAGGATATACAGTTTCATACACTTCCTCTAATTTCAGCCACTTGCCACTCACAATTTGTAACAAAAAAAGGGGAGGGGACAACCAAGATACTAAAAAAAATCCCATCAAATCAATGGATTTTTGCCAATGGAACGTTTTGTTAAAGCCAATGGAATTACTTTAATGCCTCCCAAAAATTGTCAGCCCTCAGAAGAATAACTTTTGGAGAGATAATGGCAATATAAGGTAGAAATGACATGCTCTAGTTGTCAATTGTCAGAGTTTTTTTCAGCAGGGAATTCTCATTGAGCAAGAAATACAAGACGTTTACACAAAACCAGAAAAAGAAGGAGCCAGAGGAGTCTGTCAGCACATTTGAGACTACACAATTTATTTTAGCCCAAAGTTTCATGGATTTCAATTCACCTCTTTGGATGCACTGATAGAGTCAACACTGAGGACCCAAGTATACTACCAGTTAGGTAGTGTAGTTTTAACATTGGTTTCATTAGGAACACATGAGGAAGTGGACTGTAATGCATGAAAGTTCATGCTAAATTTCATCAGATGCTGCTAAATTCCCCCTCACTCATTTTCCAGTTGAAATGGACCAATATGGTTTTCTCCTTCAAATCTGTAAACTTTATTACAATGTTAGTACTAACAGTAAGTCATAGTATGCTTCAATTCACATACATCAGACAATATTCCCCAGCACAAGCAAATCAGGTTCAGGAAAACAAATCCTCTTGAATGAAGTAGAAAAGAATATTTTTCTGACGTGTCTGGCAAGAAATTACATAGCAGAAAGCCCTTGAAGTGCACAGATTTTGTTGTTTTCTGTAACCTTGACCTTTGTTCATCTCCTATTTCTGAGCAGAGTGGGAAATAAAGTCCTAAATACTGGTCTACAAGAGAGACATTTTCTCTTGCAGAAATTTCAAGACAGAAAGGAAAGAATACTGTATAGGATAAAATACAGTTTTACACTTATTACATTTTATGTTTATATTCCATCTGGAAATATTTCTGGCACTGTCCAAAATAGTTTACCACTTATTCAGAATCTCTGTACACATCTCTCCAATTCATCAGCCTCTCACAAAGCACATGTCTGGGAAAGAAAGTAGTGGAAAGGAAGGAAGAAAAGGTAGATCTCCCCTTCAGAAGGTTGGGATTTTGCTGGATTACAGCCATGATGTGGAAGTATGTTCCACTGAGATCATTTTAATTTACACACTTCCAAGAAATGTAAAGAATTATCCTTTCAAAATTATATCTGTGGAAAATGTTAGCAGCTAAAAATATGTAAAGTGAATTAATTTGCCAAGTCCTCTTAAGGCAGCAGCTGCATCAATGTATTGAATTACAGAAACTGTAACCTAGACATCGTAATCTGATGTGAACATTATTAGGTTACACCAAATGTTTAAACTAAAAACAACAGCATAGAGCTTGCTGCTACCGGGTTTTGGAGAGGTTTGGGATGAATACAAAAGGAAAACAGATTGTTTCAGAAATATTTAAATGTAAAGTGTATAAAGTGCACCAAAGATTATTTGGTGTCCAAGACCACATTCTTTGGACCTTCGTGCATTTCTCCCTCTATTGCTTCATGCCCATTTCCGAGACCCACTCAAAAACTATGGCTCTGAGGTCTTTAAAAAATTGCTGCACAACTCTGTAACTTCTATTATTTATAAAAGCCCTTAAAACAAAGATCAAAAGAACAAGTCCACACATTTACATTCTTTTCATTTATACAATTTTCCCTGACTCTTTTCACCTCCTGATGAGTAATCTGAAAAATAAGTCTAGAAGTACACAATCAAAGTCAAAATCATTTCAGGATACTTTGATATAGTGCCACAAAGGATATGAAGGAAGCACAGGTTGTAAATGGCCAAGTTCCAATATGCGTGCTAATAAAAGAATAAGGGGTTTTTTTTGTACCATGAATGAAAAAAGAATTGTGTCACTAGGGAATTCAGAGAAGGAAAAAATATCAAAGCTTTTGGCTCTTCAGTTGCTGCTCTTTATTAGATCTTAATTGATCTACTATTACATTTAGTTTTAACCAGCTCCAGCTGCAGAATGTAATATAATATTCCCTTAAAAATCATAGTTGTATTTTTTTTTAAAATTAATCAATTTATACAAGCTTTCACATTTTCCAAATTAAGCCTTTACAGTGGCACTCCAAGAAGGGAAATTGTTTTGGAATGGGGCTAGTGTCTTCCTTGAAAGTGTGATATAGCATGGATAATGGAGAGACTTGAAGTCCAGTCAAAGGGATGTCATATAGCTGGTACTTTTATTTTCTTGGGATCCTAGCAATACCTTATCACAGAGCAACAAACTGAGTTCAGTTCATCACATAACAATCAATATGGCTAAAATGTTCATCAGGGGTCCTCAAACTAAGACCCAAGGGCTGGATATGGCCCTCCAAGGTCATTTACCCAGCCCTTGCTCAGGGTCAAAAGTCTGAAAACTAAGTCTGAAATGACTTGAAAGCACACAACAACAACAACCACAATCCTATCTCATGATCCAAAAGCAGGCCCATACTTCCCATTGAAATACGAATAAGTTTATATTTGCTAAAATTGTTCTTCATTTTAATTATTGTATTGTTTTTAAGTGTTTTTTAAGTACAAATAAGATATGTGCAGTGTGCATAGGAATTCATTCATGCTTTTTTCAAATTATTATCCGGCCCTCCAACAGTTTGAGGGACTGTGACCTGGCCCTCTGTTTAAAAGGTTTGAGGACCCCTGATGTACACCATACTGGCATACCGACAAAGATATTTACCTTGTGATCATATGGGTTGTATGAATGAAACAATCGCGACAGTTCTTTTGTTCTTTGTTTTTTCTGTAGGAAAACAAGGGAAATATAGTATTATATGACTGAAAAATTTAAAGGGTTACACATTCTTACTACTGAATATACAGATATAGGAAAACAGGATTTTTTTCTAGAAATTTAAGCTGCAGAAACATGCTTTCACCCAAGCTCAGGCATGGTGAGGTTTCAGAAAACGTTAAGATGGTAACAACTATAGCCTGGAACATTATGCTAACTGCTTTATAGAAAAGCACAATCTTTCCAAAGACATTCCTGCGTAAGTAATTACACATTTTGTGGCCAACTATACAGGTGAGATGTAACAGCTTTAGAATGTTCTGGTATGGTGGATTTTATTTACTAGTGAGAGGCTAAAGTACTTCAAAGAAATATTTCACCATAATATTTGAACTCTAATTCAAATGTTATTCATCTGGGGTTTATGCTGCAACTTTAGTATGCCTAATATATCCTCTTGAAACTCACTATCCGGCAGCAGGATAGATAATGAATTAGGGTTCACTACTCACCATGACATAAGCCCAATGTATTTCTTTCTTATGCTATTTCTCCACACCATATCACTCAAGTGCCAACTAGAGAACTTCTGGATTCCCTTAACAATGCACAGCTGATTAAAAGAATCTTGACGGAGGGTCTCTACTAGTGCCAGCTCTACAGTAGGTTAGATATAGGCTGAGAGATTGCTGTTGCTGCTACTCCATCATAGATGGAGCAATACACTCATAACAAGCAGAAAAGATGTCAAGAGGACATAGCAAAAGAAAGGAGAGTTCACATTACACATGGGAAAGCTCTTTTGGCAAAGAGATGCATCTGCCCTCTTGGAAGTCTAGGAGTGCCAGTCATCTTTTAAACAGATCACCAACCCCCTCTTTCTTTGTATCATTTTTTAAAACCCCTCAAATTTTTTGGAAAAAAAAAGAACAATTGGGTTTTTGATCACTCCCATGACTTTTGACAGGCCACGTGGCCATAGAAAATCCCAAAGGTTGCTAAAGTTGAGTAAAAGGTAAAACTAAAGGTTTTCCCCTGACATTGAGTCCAGTCGTGTCCGATTCTGGGGTGTGGTGATCATCTCAAGTTCTATGCCGAAGAGCCAGTATTGTCCGTAGACGTCTCCAAGGTCATGTGGCCAGCATGACTGCATGGAGCGCCGCTACTTTCCCACCTGAGCAGTACCTATTGATCTACTCACATTTGCAGGTTTTCGAACTGCTAGGTTGGCAGAAGCTGGGGTTGACAGTGGAAGCTCACACTTCTCCCCAGATTCGAACCTGTGACCTTTCAGTCAACAAGTTTAGCAGCTCAGCGGTTTAACCCACTGCACCACCGGAGGCTCCCCTCAGTAAAATAGTGAAATAGTGAACCCATTTTACAGTATTCCAGGAAAAATACCAGCTCTACCAATGTCAAGAAATAATTTGGCTTCAGCAGCAATGACCTACTTCTAAGAATCAGTCAGGTTTTGGTCAATGAGGAGCAAGGCTACACTCTAGCAGCCCATCCCCATCTTTTCCATCAATCTTAACTTGAAGTTTATTCCTTTCTTTCCATCCATTATCTCTCTCACTCGACCTTTACTCTTCCTTGTATCACTTCTATCAACTGAAAAATTATTTAGATTAAACCATGTATGTAAACAATATATTCAATGATCAATTAAATTATAAGGTGTTTTAATAATATTCTGAACTGAATAAGGCCACTGAAGTAAATCTGAATCAAACCCTCAACTTGTTGCACAATGAAACACTCTCTTTATGAGCCAACTAGAGCTTTAAGATCTGCCAGGGAGGCCCTGCTCTCAGTCCCACCCCCTTTGAAAGTGTGACTGGTGGGGATGAGAGACATGGCCTTCTCCCCTCAGCTATGGAACTCCCTCCCAAGTGACATTAGATTAGCCCCATTCCTCCTGATCTTCAGGAAAAGCTAAAGATGTGGCTGTTTGCACAAGAATTTGGAGAATTTGATTTTAAAGTTGCAGTCCGAATAATGTCCATGGGAAAACTTGAAATTTGGAAAGTATACTAGGCATTTTATATGTTTCAATCTGTTTTATTGTTTTATATGTTTTAACTGTTTATATGCTTTAATCGTTTTACAATTTAATGTGGTTTGTTTATGTTATGTGTACATTGCATCACTGAATTTTTGCCGTAGTTTGCAAAGTCACTCTGGAGTCCCCTTCTGGGTGAGAAGGGTGGGGTATAAATAAAATTAGTAAATAAATAATAAAAATAAAAAACAAAAAATCCCACCCACCAAGAACCCATTGTATCAACATTTAATCTCCCTCTGTTCTCCCCACATTACTTTTTGTAAGGTATTAAAACCAGTCACTACTACTAACAGAAAATGACCTGTTGGATCTATAGAAGTTGTTCTCAACCTGTGGGTCCCCAGATGTTTTGGTCTACAACTCCCAGAAATCCCAGCCAGTTTACCAGCTGTTAGGATTTTGGGGAGTTGAAGGTCAAAGCATCTGGGGACGCACAGGTTGAGAACCACTGATCTATAGGGATTACACTGTGCAGGATACAAAAGTTAGATACAAAAGCCCAGGAGGCCTCTTCCAACTCTTTGATTCTATCTGTATGTTCATTCACTCTATAGCAATTCACTGCATGGGTCTACTCCAGTTAAAGCTAACAATTTGATTTAAACCAAAGTCCACTTTTTAAAGACAGGATAAAAGAAGAAACCCCCTCTTACGATTTGGGCTGGAATCTGATGCATTTTTGCTGCAGGGGTCCCAGGCCGTGGGTAAAACTGGTTAATAAAAAGACTAGGAAACTTATACTCTTCTACAAGTTTCAAGGTTTCTTGAAAATCTTCATCTGTTTCCCCTGGAAACCCACAAATGATGTCTGTAGCTATTGTAATCCCAGGCACTCTGAAAGGAACAAAAACAAAAAGAGTTAAACTGAAGCCTGGACATACCAGCTTCTTCCCTTAGCAAAACACTATGTGTTGAATCGTGAATCCTTAAAGTTCTTGATATCTGTACAGAATCTGCATTTGCTGTGGACATGACAATTACTGAAGTACATATACAAAGAGGAAAGAAAATACAACAAAATTCACATTGTTTCCTTGTCACGCTTTCATTCTTGTTACGGTTTCATTCCATACTCCTTGCCTACTCTTTAAGCTCTAGTAGACATTCACTACAATGAAAAAAGAAAAATCTGTAAAATTCCTGATTTATCATCTCATTCAATCAAAGTCAAAGGCCAACTACATTTGTGCATTACTTGAACAGCATGTTGAATATTGAGTTGCTCCCTACTTTGGTGTTGATTGCTAGGGAAATGGCGGTGCTCATTGCAATGCCAGCACTTCTAAGCATATGTACTGAATTTGTATCAAATATACTTCTGAAATCTTCCAGGACCTGTCTGTATGTTTAATCTGAAGTCATAACAGAGAAACCTTCTGAATTCTGCTCTTGTCCCATGTGGGCAAAATCTGTCAGGCTTACGTGAGACAGACTATATTAATCTATAAATGAACAGCAGGTAGCCTTCTGTGACATCTCAGAGATTAATAAGATGTACATTACATTTGACAAAAAGCAGTTATAGTATAGCTATAGCAGTCATTTTAGTGACACAGCTGGCAACAGAAAAAGCATGTAATACCTACAGCATTGGCAATATCATCCACTTCATGTGTGTTTCCCAGTTTCTATGGGAACGTGAATGGGAAGTTTCAGTCATGGTAGAACCAGGAAAATGTCTATGACACCTGACTAACAAAATACATCTGAGTGAAATAGGATTTCTTTCTTAACAAATATTCAGAGCCAGCACAAGCACCCAAAGGTCCTTTGTGGTTTTAAAATGGAAAACTGGAACTATTTTTTCCTCTTTCTTCTTCTTTTAAAATAAGGATTTTCAAACTAACAGAATCCTAAGTAAGTAAATAGGTCCCACCCCTCTCGGTAATTAGTTTCATTCCATAACTACTTGCACCATCAAAGATTTCTCTCCAACATTCAATCAAAATCTACTTTCTGGAATCTTGTATGAGTTAACACAATCTAGGCCCAAAGGTTCATCGCAATTCATAAAAGTACCTTTTGCTTTCACTAAGATCATTCTGAACTAGAGTTTTTCAAAACTTTCATGTTGGTGACACACATTTTTAGACATGCATACATGCATACACATACATATTGTAATACCAAAATTTATGGGAACATAACATATCTCATGAAAATCTTACATATATATCTATTGTATATGTTTTAAATATGATTGATTGCTTATTTCACACACTCAGAGGTTTCTCATTAGGTTTGTGTGACATGCATACACACTGCAGTTGACATAGTTATGAATCGAAACGCAGTTTGGAAAGCTCTGTTCTTGATATTTGTCTAGAGCAGTGGTTCTCAACCTGTGGGTTCCCAAGTGTTTTGGCCTACAACTCCCAGAAATCCCAGCCATTTTACCAACTGTTAGGACTTCTGGGAGTTGAAGTCCAAAACATCTGGAGACCCACAGGTTGAGAACTACTACTCTAGAGAAATGATTCCCAAGCACTACTCCTCCATGCATTTTGGGTTTCAATCTCCAGAAGCCTCAGCTGCCTTGGCCAGTATTCAGGGATTCTGGGAGCTGAAGACGAAAAAACATAGATTACCTTTTTTCCTCTCATCATTGCCTTAGAAGACTTTCTTGATAAGAAAGAACAAGGACGTACAAGTATCTCATTTTCATCTATGAAATAGTTAAATAATTCTTCTACAAAAGGTTTATAGAATTTATTTACAAAAGCTATCACAGACATCCCATAGACACTTGGCACCACATCATGCATATCAAGCAAAATAGGAAACAATGCAAGTTTGGAAGTCAGGAACTCTATGAAACATCGGTTAAAAAAAACACAAAGAAAAGCTGTGTAATATAAAGCCAAGTCGTTATCATCTATACTGAAAAATATATACATGTAATTTAATTAAGATATTTTAAATTTAGTTCTTGTAAGCTGTACTATATAAGTACATTGTTTACTCATTCTTACTCAAAAGCTTATAATAAAATCAGATGTGGATGGGTTTATAGTTCTAATGGTGTTCATACAGTTCCAATAAATGCATCAGCAGGAAACCATATTGGCAGGACACCTGCTAAAATCTTTTATATATGTATATGTCCCCACTGTATCACAATTTTACTACTTTGTATTTTCTATTTGAAGACCATACTGCAGCTTGTCACAAAAATAATTTCTGCTGTGTTCTATTGGCACCAAAAATACTGCAGCATGTAATACTATTGTTTTCTTTTAAAAGTCGGTGATGTAACTTAATAAATTACAAATTCAGCTGTTGCCTGTGAGCAATCTCACATACAATCATACCCTCACACTTTTTCACACAGAAGAACAATCCTGATGTGAGATCTTCATTTTAATCACAATTTGCTATTCTCATAAGTCTTAAGATTGTGTTCATAATAATTGGTGTCAACCTATCTGTGTTAATGTTTGAACTTTCTGTTACTACTATATGTGCTTTTTTGAAATACAGCAACATCTCTTAATACTTTTATCAACTAGTAAGTTGTCACATCATACACTTAGCCACTTGGTTAGCTCATTCTGTCCATATAATTATGCCAAGCAGTAAAAATAATGTTGTTATAGGCAAAAACATAGTAAATATGCTAAAACCAACTAAGCCGTTACAAGCAGACTATGATAAACCACGATCTCTCTGACAATCCTATACCATAATATGAAGTGGCGAAAAGAATTTTACAGCACCCCAGGTCTGTGTGCATGTTAAAGAGTCACATGGCGAAGCCATGCAATGGAGCTGCAATTTACTTCTAGAAAGAAGTAAATTAGCTAAAATAAATAAGAGTCTTTCAAACAAACTGCCTACACTTGGAATCAGTCACAAAAATTGTTTACCAGATGATATACAACAGACCATTCATAGCCTGAACATGTTTTGTATCTAAATAATTGTTAAGTATTATATTACAACTTCAACACAACAAGAAGAAAGGACTTTTCTTTGAAGGTTTTTTCCTAATTAATAAAGAAAATGAGTTGGCAAACCAGATTTTGTTGGGAACTAGTCTTTTCCAATGTTCTTTGGCTTTTCCTTTTGAGCTTATTGACATATAAGTTCGTTGAAATATGAAACATATTGTGTGTCGATGAAACAAGCCATCTTTTCCCTGTTTCTCTGGCTGTAGCACAGGATCCTAGAGGTGGCTTCCTCAGTAAACAGACATACTTAAATGCTTTATGCATCTACTTTTCATCACCCATTTCCTTGAAGGAATAATTTCACTTTGGACTTGTACCTAAGCTTATTTATCCTTAATAGCATACACCTCTCATACAAATGAAACCTTGTACAAAACTTCATTAAAGATTTATAACCTCAGATCATTACTGTTTTATGACTTTAAAATGAGAGACTTAAGACAAAAGCTCAACATCCTTAAACTTCATTTCCATTAAATCTCTAATAAATACCATCTGCTGTGTACTTTGGGGATATAATACACGTCAAAACCTCAGCCACATTATGAGAACCAGCACCAAGTTTATCTGAAATGCATATTTGAACAGATGTGTTTAAATTACATCTCCTTCTATGCACATGCATAAATTCAGAGCAAGAGTGTGTTGATTTAAAATGCATAAAAAAGGGATTTGCAGATGCATCACAAGTGAATGGCATCTTGATAGATCCAGGCTCACATTACTAAAGGTCATTATTAAACCAAAGGTCTGCATTTATTAAGGGTTGCATATCATCAGAACTGGTTTAACGTTTGCAGCATGACAGCAGTCATGGAGAACTGTCAAGCAATTTTTTGTTACATCTTCATAATTATCAAATAAATTTTCACAAAATGATGCTTATCGTTTTTTAAAAATAGGACACAGTATTACTTGGCCTTTAATTGCTTCATTATGGACCGAACTGTTAGTTACTACACAAGCAGGGGATTTAGACTTGGAAGATACACCTTATGTTTAAGCATGATGATCAATAGTCAAAATTATAATTATTTTTAAAACAGTGGCATCAATGCTAGCTTTGCTGAATGGTACACTCAGTGAGTGAATCATCAGAAGGTACACAAACAGAGCGCACAGTGCTCAGGGATGGAGTATAGACTATGGAGAATCAAATTTACATACTCACTGAACTATGAAACACCTGGAATAAGTCTCCATATTAGGTTTGGGTTTGTGTTTAAAATAGGATGACTTAATATAAGATATCCTGAGACCCATTAAGGAAAAATTCACCTCCACCCCCCAAAGGGAAGATTGGATACAAGTCTCTAGTTATTCAAATCCAAAGGGTCTAGAGAAAGATTTTAAAGAAGCAGTCATATCATTGATTCTTTTAAACAACACGAAATACTTCCCTCCTTGAGAAATGTATTATTTATATATTGCAGGTCAGATCGAACTGCATTTCTTCCCTGGAGGACCAGCTGGACAGGATTGAGGGGACAGGTTATCATCTTCATTCATCCTAGCAGTTTGTCCACATCTCTGGTGCCCACCAACTGAAACTGAACCAGTGTAATACTACTTATAGAGTTTCCGCATTTGGTATTATATTGACAAATAAGTCAGCTCTTATCCAAGAGATTTTATCTATTGAATGATTGTTAAAAGTATGACAGCAAACTATAAAGGCTCTAGAACTGAATTCATAGGGAAAGGTGCCTATGCTGAATAGTTCAATTGGACATAAAATTGCAGCTAGAATGCATGCAGAGAAGAAGGATTTTTTCATTTAATGTATTATTACTTCATAGGTACAAAGATGTCCTCTATATTGTGTCCTGTTGGGTATACACTGAATTTCCCTCTACCTGTGCTCTAGTCTTCATTCTTCCTGTT